CGCACTCATCGTCTACCATAGAAACAACAAGCAATATTAGTCGCTAAATACGAAATGACGTATGAATAAATTGTTGAAAAACTGAGTGAATTGGCTCACTTTTGGCACAATTTTCAGTGGGACCCGTTGGTCCTATTTTAAATATCAAAGTTGATGTGTGTTCTTTTCCGTGAGAACATCGAAATCATGTATTTATTTGCCAAAAATAAAGTTTGGGTGAATGAGAAATTGAAGTCTAAAGTGGACCGTTGGAAACGGTCTATGTTGTGGGAAAACTTTGTCCCACATAGGAAAAACATTGAAATCAAAACCACTTTATATGTGGTTATGCATTAGAATGGTGTGATCATGTGTAGCATAGAGGTTCTCTCCACGTGCGTGCGCAGGAAGTGTGCAAATCACGAACGGAAATAGCCTTCGAACCTTGAACTTGAGTGCGGACGTGACCTGCATACATGAATGTCGGACCGAACGAAGCAAAAATTGGCCAGTTTGGATTGTCTGCATTTAGCAATTTTTATTTTTATTTTTTGGTTTTTCCAAATGACTTTTGAGTGTCTGAAACTCCTAAAACTCCAATGGTCACTCCAAAAACTACAATGGTTAATACAGAAACTAATGGTTAGATTCAGTTTATATAATTCACTCAATTTCTAGCAGTTCACACACTGAAGTTTTCGTCTACAATTTCCAGCCTATTTTCTGTTTTGTTCCGTCTCATTTCAGTAAGGTGACATTGTTCGAACACTCGCTCAGTTCATCGGAGTAGAATCGCGGTGTTCGGATTCTGCTGGTTACCGTTGTATCCTGAGAGACAGGCGCTCGAACTAAACCTCTAAAACCACGGTGAGAGGGCGAATTTGTCTTTAAAAAATTGTATTTACACAGGCTTCGGGTTGAAATTATATCTGCTATTTATTTAGTTTACAATTTTTCAGATTTATTTATTTATTTATTTTGCAACATACTTGAAATTTATGTTAGAAATAGATAAATAAAATAAACTTTTTTTTTTAATTCGTTATATGTGTGAAAAATAAATTTCACATATATGGTATTTCTATTAGTAAGTGAAAAAATTTGTGTTATTTTTAGTTAGTGTATGAATAAAAACACTTTATGGAAATTTTTGTGCAAATATAGTGAGTTTCACCTGAAAATACAGTAAACTGTCATATACGGTAAGTTGCACTGTCAAATACGGTGAGTTGCACTGCCAAATACGATGAGCAATTGTCAAATACGATAAGTGTGAATCCGGTATCTAAAACACAAATTCGGTATATGAGAGTCCGATTCCACTTCATACACTACCGATTAAATAAAACAACATAAGTAGACATAAACAGGCAAACATGATAACTGCATCAAATAGAGTAAGTCTAAAAGAAAGCTGCCTCTCATCACGCATGTAAAATCATTAAAGATTAAACACATTCCATAACTCACACATTAAT